TGTTTTTCTTCTCTGACTGTGTGTTCTCAAATAGCCTGTCCTCAAGCTCACTGATTCTTCTGCTTTATCCATTCTGCTGTTGAAGGTCTTTAGTGAATTTTTTAGTTCAGCATATATATTTCAAGATTTCTGTTTGTTTTTATTTTTATTATTTCAATCTCTGTTAAATTTCTTTGATAAATTTCTTAATTAATTTTCTGTGTTATCTTCGTGATCACTGAGTTTCCTTGTAATTGCTATTTTGTTCTTGGTCAGTGAGCTCGCATATCAACATCTCATTAAGGTCAGTCACTGGTTCCTTGCTTTGTTCATTTTGGGGAAGTCATGGTTCCTTGTTTGCTGTTGTTGTGGCTGTATGTCTGTTTCTTTGCATTAAAGGATTAGTTATTTATTCCAGTCTTCTCTCTCTGACTTATTTTGGTTTTTAATGGATATTTTTGCTTTTTTCTTTGTAATTTGTATCTTTTATCCCCCCCACTAGGTTGCTGTCTCCTTTTTGGCACTAGATGGCACCTTAAGCCTAGGTTTGCGTCAAATCTAATAAAGGATCAGAGTGCTGCCTGTCCCAAATGGAAGAGGTCCCAAAGGAGATATTCTGGCAATGTGGGTCACCTGGCCAAGGGTTTGTACCAAGGGGACCTGTGGAACATATTTCCTACAGCATGGTACTGCCACTCTGATTTGGTGTCTCCCTTGGCCTAGTTATAGAGTGGAATTTCTAGGGTTGGGATGGTTGTCTCACCTCTCCACTTTGTCTCTGGCTGTCCTCAGGGATATTTGTCCCTTCAGGTACTCCTGATACTTCCCATGGGTTGAGGTAGGGACAGGTCTTTTGTCAGGAACCCAAGGTGATAGGGAAGCTGGTTGTCAACCTTGATCTCACTTTTTCTAGTGAAGAAATCATGAGTTGGGGGAAATATTTTCACATGCTTGGTGCAAGGCAGATTGTGGAGAGGGGAGTCACGGATATGGAAATCTGATTTCCCTTCTGTCTGCTTGGAGTTTTTTCACTTCTCCATGGCCCCGGGAACTGTCTCATCCTCATCTTTGGGTTCTGGGTTATTGCTGGTAATAATCTCGGTAATGTATGTTTGTTTTTAGTTTTCTGTTGTGAGAGCAGGAAGCCAGTTCGCTTCTATGCTGCCATTTTGGAACTGGAAGACAGCATGAAGTTCTTAAAAACAATTTTTCAACATATATGAAAAAATTTAAATTATTATTTTGGGCCGAATGTGGTGGCTCACGCCTGTAATCTCAGCACTTTGGGAGGCTGAGGTGGGAGGCTTACTTGAGTCCAGGTGTTTGAGACCAGCCTGGGCAACATAGTGAAACCCTATCTCTACAAAAAATTTTTTTAAATTTGCTGAGTGTGGTGGCATGTGCCTATAGTCTGAGATAGGAGACTGAGACATGAGACTGAGACAGGAGAATTGCCTGAGCCTAGGATATTGAGGCTGCAGTGAGCCATGATTGTATCACTGCATTCCAGCCTGGGTGACAGAGTGAGATCTTGTTTCAATAAATAAATATGTTTTAATTTAGTAATTGTAGCTCTAAGAATTATCTTAGGAAATAAGGAAAGATATACATTAATGTCTGTATAAGTATGTTCATTTTAGCATTGTACCTAAAGCAATAACTTTGGATATACCTTAAGTATCAACAGTAAAAGAATGATTAAATTCATTTTAACACATCTATATGTATGTTATGTAGCTATTAAAACTGATATTGAAGAAATTTTAATGACATGGAAAATTTCTCATAGCATATGCTGAGGGAGAAAAAAGCAGGGTACAAAATTATATCTCAATTCAATTATCAGTATCTAAATTCACTTCTAAACACATCATCCATGGAAGTAAAAGGATTAAAGAAATACACCAAGATACTTTCACTTCTGGGAAGGTGGTGACATACTGTCTTTTATGCCTCCTGCTAAGTACAACTAAAAACTTTGGGCATTATATTTAAAACAAACTTTAAAAGACTCTGCAAGACGGAGAGAAGGCAGACCAGCTGAGGGTCTTGAGACACAAGGAACAGCATGGTGGTGAGTGTCCTGGGTTTTCTTTTTGCCTCATATATCCCATAGCAAACATATATAATTTTTCTTCCCTCCAAATAATTTCCTTTAACAGGAAATTCTTGCAAGACAGGTCTCAGGCAACAAATTCTCTTAGTTTTTATTTGTCTCAAGACATCTTTATTTCCCCTTCACTTTTGAAGGATAATTTTTACAGGTTAGTGGGTTTTTTCTTTCCACATTTTAAATATTTCAATTCATTCTCTTCTTGCATAGTTCCTAAAAAAAAAAAAAGTTCAGTATAATTATTATCAATAGGTAAGGTGTTTTTTTCTCCCTGACTTCTTGCAAGATTTTCTTTGTCTTTGGTTTTTCATAGTTTAAATATGATATGTATAGGTGTAGGGTTTTGTTTTGTTTTGTTTTGTTTTTTGCATTTATCCTGGTCAGTGTTCTCTGAAATTCCTGAATCTGTAGTTTGGTGTCTGTCATCAATTTTGGAAAATTCTCAGCCATTATTACTCAAATATTTCTTTGGTTCTTTTGTCCCTTCTTTTTCTTGTATTCCTATAATGAGTATGTCACACTGTTTATAACTGAATATTCTGTACTGTTTTATTCCTTCTTTTTTCCCCTCTGCGTTTCACTTTGAGGAGTTTATATTGACATTTCTTCAAGATCACTGATTTTGTTTCATTGGCCATATTCAATATATTGATAAGCCTATGAAAGACATTCTTCACTTCTTAAAACAATACTTTTTATTTCTAGCATTTTCTCTTGATTCTTTCTTAAAGTTTAAATTGCTCTGCTTACATTACCCATCTTGTCTTGCATGTTGTACACTTTTTTCATTAGTGCCCTTAGCCTGTTAATCAGAGTTATTTTAAATTTCTGGTCTGATAATTCCAAAATCTCTGGCACAGCTGAATCTGGTTCTGATATTTGCTTTGTCTCTTCAGACTGTTTTTTTCTTTCCTTTCAGCATGCCTCATCATTTTTTATTGAAGCCTATATACCATCATTATATCATTGGGTAATAGCATTTAAGATAAATAGGCCTTCAGTGTGAGGGCTTGTGTTTATCTGACTAGGAGTTACACTGTGTTTACTGTTTGCTGTTAACTGTTGGCATCTGAGCATTTCCTCCAGTATCTTTGTTTTTTTTTTTTTTTTTTTTTTTTTTTTTTGAGACAGAGTCTCGCTCTGTCCCCCAGGCTGGAGTGCAGTGGCGCGATCTTGGCTCACTGCAAGCTCTCCCGGGTTCACGCCGTTCTCCTGCCTCAGCCTCCTCCTGAGTAGCTGGGACTACAGGCGCTCGCCACTGCGCCTGGCTAATTTTTTGTATTTTTAGTAGAGGTGGGGTTTCACTGTGGTCTCGAACTCCTGACCTTGTGATCCGCCCGCCTCGGCCTCCCAAAGCAGTATCTTTGTTTTTATCACCCCTTTTGTCTCCTGTTTTGTCTTTGGGTTTCCCTAGAAACCCCTTCTTAAAAAGAGTCTAAACTTTGCAGTCTTTCATCTATAATCTTCTGTTATCAGGGGCTCTGTAAATGTGGTGGTAAGGTGTGTGTAGAAGGAAGCATTCTATACTCCTATAATTAGGTCTCAGTCTTTTGGTGAGTCTTTGCCCTGGGCTGTTACCTTGACAAGTTTTTCTCAGCATTTCCTCCCCTTTAGTGAGATAGGAAGGCTAGAGTGGGTGGAAGTTGTCTAATTGCCCTTCTTCAGGTCAGATAAGGCTTTGGTAAGACAGTTTCCTTGAGAACTTGCCTTCATTACAGAGAATAGAACGAAGAACAGAGCTCCCCGGGAATATTCCAAAATAGCTATTTCCTTCTCCCGCTGCTGGAAGCAGGAGCAGATTCTCTGATCTTCACAGTGAGAACACGTTGGGGCTCTTGGAGGTAAAACTCACAAAAGTATGGGACCCTCTAAGATTCTCCTCCTTGCCCCCAAGAATTTTTAACTCTCAAGCTAGTCCACACTGAGCCTCGAGAAATGTGTGGATTAAAGCTTAAGTGTTCTTGTCAGTGCAGGTTCCAACAGCTGACTTCTCTCAGGCTTTTGCTCCCTGCAGGCTGTGATGCTTTATACTACTCCTCTCTCCAGCTTTCAGGACAGCAGTTTACCCTGTGATCTCAATTCTCTGATAGATAGAAGAAGAGTTGTTTTTGGTTCATTCAGCTTTTTTCTTGTTGTGAGAATAGGAATGACAACTTCCAAGCTTATTACATGTTGGAGTGAAACTAGAACTCCGTTAGTTGCTTTTTAATGATAATTTTGCAAAAGTGGGTATCACAATAGAATCAAGTTATTGAGTTGTATTGAGTTATTGGTGGGTGAGTTTTGTTAGTAATAATTATATTGATAATCTTAAAGATCTTGAACTTGCTTTCAAATTAAAAATTTTAAGACATAACATACCACACAAATACTCATTCTTACAATTTTATTTTTTTTATATTGCACTCCCATGAAACTATCCACTGCTTAATAAGGAAAATGTTTAACCACCTTTGATATTTAAATCTTTACAACTATATAAAATAGCAGAGATTTCAAGAATATAAGTATTAACCACTTAGGGACCATCATTTTGCATATATTTAACATTGACTCTCCTGTAATTTGATTTTATTAAACAAAATACAACATTATGTATTTTCTTTTACCAAGAATGTTTTATAGTGCAGTAATTCTTTCAGTTGTTAATCATATAAACTAGCCAGAAATAGAGCTTTTTATTCATGCTATAATGGTCTTTATCAGACTTGGAAATTCTTATGCTTAATAAAACAACTACAGTTTTACAGTGGCAAAAATGATAAAGATTAGTTTAATTTATTGTAATTACTGATAGAATATTTCCTATAAAATATAAGCTTAATTAGGAAGCATTGTTTTAAAATTACAATTTGAGAAGCTTTTAAGATAGCAAATTTGATTTTAAATTCCATTTCTTTTTACTTAGGTTACTTCCAACTGTAATTGATCAGAAATCATTTATTTTCCCTCAGGAATCTGAGGGTAAACTTTGGCAATCCCAAAGACAGCACAGTTCATCTCTGCCTGTCTTTCCAAGAGCAAAGGTAGGTATAGAGAAATTCATAGACAGAAAGTAGTTTAGTGACTGCCAGGAGCTGGGAGGAGCAGAGAGTAGGAGTGACTTTTAATGGGTATGAAGTTTCTTTGGGGGATGATGAACATGTTCTAGAATTATATTGTGGTGATGATTGCACTACTCTGAATATAGTAAACACCATTGAATTATATACTTTAAAAATGTGAATTTTATGGTATATTAATTACATCTCGATGAAGCTGTTAAAAACTTTTTAAAAAAGAGTAAAGTAAGAAATTTGCTTTGTGTTCTAAGTTAGAAAACATAATGAATGTATAGGTCTGTTTCTAGAATTTTATTTTATAGTTGTTTCAGGTATGTTCATGGCATAGTCAATTTCTACAACAAAAGAGCTTTCTTCAGAAGAAAATAAATCAAGACATAATGCCTTCACATTTTTTAATAGAGCCAGGTGGCAAGGAATAGAGCTCACTAAGTTTCTGACTTGGCCTCCATTGAGTGTTCTCTCAATTTTGTATCTGTTTTGTCCCTGTCTTAGTTCAGGCTGCTGTAACAGAATACCATGAACTGGGTGGCTTAAACAACAGAATTCTATTTCTTACAGCTCTGGAGGCTGGAATTCAAAGGTCAAGATGCCGGCAGATCCGGTGTCTGGTGAGGTCTTTCTTCCTAGTTTGCAGACAGCCTTCTTCATTTGTTTCTTCACATGGCAGAGAAAGAGAGAAAACCAGCAAGCTCTTGTGTGTCTTTTTATAAGGGCATTGATCTCATTCATTAGGGCTCTACCCTCATGAGCTAATTATCTCCCAAAATCCTCACCTGTTAACACCATTACCCTGGGTTAGGATTTCAACATATGGGTTTTGGTGGGCGGGGGGAGTGGGGGCACAAACATTCAGTCCATAGCACACCCTGACTTACAAGTAATACTAGCTCACCTCTTTTGGGTAGCAGGAACTGTTATCAGTACTTTGAAAATACTAACTTGTTTGAACTTCAGAACAACCCTAGAAGGAGGTGTTATTATTATTATTATTAAGATGGAGTTTCACTCTTGTCACCCAGGCTGGAGTGCAATAGCGTGATCTCGACTCACCGCAACCTCTGCGTCTCAGGTTCAAGCAGTTCTTTGCCTCAGCCTCCCGAGTAGCTGGGATTACAGGCACCTGCCACCACGCCTGGCTAATTTTTGTATTTTTAGTAGAAATGGGATTTCACCCTCTTGGCTGGGCTGGTCTTGAACTCCTGACCTCATGATCCACCTGCCTCAGCCTCCCAAAGTGCTTGGATTACAGGCATGAGCCACCACGTGTGGCCAGTTGTATGACTTTTTACATGTCTATCTTCCCACTAGATTATAAGCTTAACGAGGGCAGTACCTGTATCAGTTTGTTCATTGTTATATTATGCCTAGGGTGTGGGCCATAGGCTCTTGACCTCCTAAAAGTTTGCTGAAAATCACTAACATGAGGCAGATTGATTAATAGGAGAAAAGGCATACGAGTTTATTTAACATGTATACACAGGAGCCTTCAGTATGAAGACCCAACATCCCAATAAGTTACGGAAGCTTATGTATCATTTTGGGGTTACAGAAAGAATGGGGGCTCAGGGCATGGCCAAAACCAGGTTATGTTTATAAATCAGGTTCAGTGGCGAAACAGGTTATAAGAGGGAGAAAGGAAGAGGCTTGGCAAGCAAAGACGGCCTTGTGTGTAGATGCAGCCTCCCTCAGAATAGATGGCAAATGTTTCTTTTCAGTCTTTTAAAGGTATCAGACTCAATCTCTCCCAGATACAGGAAATGACTGGAAAGAGGAACCTTGGCAGCATTGATGGAGATTCTTTTTTTTTTTTTTGAGACGGAGTCCCGCTCTGTCGCCCAGGCTGGAGTGCAGTGGCTGGATCTCAGCTCACTGCAAGCTCCGCCTCCCGGGTTTACGCCATTCTCCTGCCTCAGCCCCCCAGTAGCTGGGACTACAAGCGCCCGCCACCTCGCCCGGCTAGATTTTTGTATTTTTTAGTAGAGACGGGGTTTCACCGTGTTAGCCAGGATGGTCTTGATCTTCTGACCTCGTGATCCGCCCGTCTCGGCCTCCCAAAGTGCTGGGATTACAGGCTTGAGCCACCGCGCCCGGCCAGAGATTCTTTACAGAAGCAAAATTTCTCCACGAAAGACAGCTTTGCAATACCACTTCTGTTTGCTGGCCCTGTGGCAACTATTTCAAAATATGTCAAAGATATATATTTTGGGGTAAAATATTTGTATTTCCTTCACAGAGGATTCTGCATAAATGTTTGTTGAATGGATAAATGAAACCACCACAGTGATCTCTAAGAGTGTGCTCATCTCCATGTAAAATATCAGTTCAGGCTCCTGTGAACTCCCAAAGCAGCGCTCTCCTACCTCTGTCCTTGCACTTGTTACATTGGGTCTGTCAGCCACTCTCTGAGGAGTGCTTACTGTGTGCCCAGGATTATTAGAGGCTGAATAAGACAGATCAGATCCCTGACATCAGAGAGCTTATATTCTAGTGGGGAAAGACAGACCATCAATAAGATAATACTAGATAATGATAAAAGCTCTGATAAAAATAGAACAGAATGCTGTGATAAAGGGAGCTTAAATTTCTCATCTTCCTTACTGTTAAATCACTTCTTCAGTCATTTTTTTTTACCTGTTTGGCCAAGAATCTCAGGAGGTCCACAGATGGTCCCCAAGACCAGAGATTAGATGGAGGTCTCTGATTTATAAGAACAATGAAATAAGATGTATGAAATTAGGCTATTTTAGAATGTATAATTGCTATTATTGTTCTGGGAAAAAAAAAACAAAACAAAACTACGGCCAGAAATTTATTTCCCCCAAAGAACTCTGAATCCTGACTAATGTTCATGAAGATGCAGTGTGTTCTTTTAGATGCTATGGGGATGGGTAAGCTTCTCTTAGAAAGGGGCATGGACTATTTCCCACCCTGACTTTGCCTCCAGAGCCTGGATTACTATTGTTGTTGTATTTCTAATATCTGTGACATCTGCTTAAAAATGCATATCCTCTGACATAAAAAAGAGCCCTAATTTTGCACTGTAAAGTCAAAGACAAACAATGCTGTCTTGCCAGCTGTTACACATGCCTACGACACCAACATAAAAGCTTGTATTATTAAGTAGTTGTGAAATCCAACTGGGACCTGGGACGTTACTACCTTTAATTGCCCACTTCCAACCTTTTAAACCAGGTGAAACCCCAGTCACTTCTTTAAGCTCTCTCTCCCCAAAAGTGGATAGCTGTTTTTGAAATTCACACCAAAAAGCTTCTATGACAAACAGTTAGGAGTTGCTCAATTGTAATTAAGAATCATAATTTAAAATTGTTTATTAAGCCTCTTTTAATTTGAAAAAGCATATTCAGAAACATTTGCAATTTAAAAAAGAAAGGTTACACTAATCTTTCACTTTCTGAGGTTTTCTCTTGAAAAAAATAGAATCGGTGATGAAATATCAGTAAGTACTATTGGAATATAAAGTCTAATTTTCAGAATTTGCAGATAACTGGGTGAAATCAATATGGACTCCGTTTTTGCTTATTAAAATACTAATTTTTAATTTTTTCCTCCAAATGTATCAGTAATACATGCTTGTTGTTGTGACAAACATAATATGAAGATGTAAAGGCAAAGCCAGTTGTTTAACCCGCACCCCCTACCAAACTACCCAATCCCATGAGGCAACCAGTGTTAACAGCAGGTTTATTTGTCCACTCATTCCCCTTTGTAATAGTGTATATTCAGTACAAGTACATATGCAGATATGTAGGGTTTGAGTTGGTTATGAATTTTTTTGCTTTTACTGAAACAGATAACATTTTGAGTCATGCAAATAAAACCATTTTTGTTCATAAACGCTATACATGAAGTTATGTTCATACAATTATTTGCATAAAATATATGCTATTTTATGTTTATAAAATAGGATAGAAATGTAATATGGTGTGATATTTCTGAGTTTTTTTTTCTATTGACTATCCATGACAACAAAAGAGGGAAAGTGGGACCCTGTAGGTTCTGGGGTTGAGTCTAAACAGCCCAAAGTAAGTGGGAAATATCTTTGATAGCTCATGCTTTGGCATATAAATTATAGCAATTTTTCACTCCATTTCATTATATATCCATTTTTGTTTCAATATAAAAGTAATGGAATTTACTTCAAAATATTTAGATAAAACTCATGCCCCAAATAATAGATCTCTTGTTTATTATGTTCCTGTCACACTACCACATACTCCCAGTAGTGCCCCAATTTGAGATGTAGAGGATTGTACAGCATCAGTATATTCATTTACCAAACATTTTCAAATTTTTATTTATTTCATTTATTTTATTTTTTATTTTTGTGAGTACATAGTAGGTGTACATATGTATGGGGTGCATGAGCTATTCTGGTATAGGCTTGCAACGCATGATAATCACATCAGGGTAAATGGGGTAGCCATCACCTCAAGCTTGCATTTATCCCTTGTGTTACAAACAATCCAATTATACTCTTTAGTTATTTTTAATGTACAATAAATTATTACTGACTGTAGTTGCTCTGTCGTACTATCAAATACTAGTTCTTATTCATTCTTTCTATTTTTTTGTACCCATTAACTATCCTCACTTCCTCACTAACCCACACTACCCTTCCCAGACTCTAGTAATCATCCTTCTACTTTCCATCTTCATGAGTTCAACTATTTTAATTTTTAGCTCCCACAAATAAATAAGAACATGTGAATCCTGTCCTTGCTTGCCTGGCTTATTTCACTTGACATAATGAAGTCCAGTTCCATCCCTGTTGTTGTAAATGACGAGATCTTATTCTTTTTTGTGGCTGAATAGTACTTCACTATGTATATGTACCACTTTTTCTTTATCCATTCTTCTGGGCTTTTTGTTTGCTTGTTTGTTTTTTAACTTTTAAGTTCAAGGGTGCATGTGCGGATTTGTTACATAGGTAAACTTGTGTC